TACACTGCTAAGCATAGGAGCCAATAAGCACGACCCAGAGCCTGCATCATGATCGATGACCAGACCTGATCATTGGAACCCAATGAAGACTGCTGGTTACTTTTGTCCACCCCATTAAAAAGAGTAAAAAGGAGGCTATTGTTGGTTTATAGTTATAATCGTTGATATAGTATCAAGAATAAATTATAAAATTAAAAAGATAACAAAACACATTAAAAATACTAAACAAAATATTGTTCGTTTGTTCGTGGCGACTCTAAATGCCTCATTTGCTGCAATCGCTCAAAAAGGCCAGGATGTAGAGCCTGCCAAAGAATTAGATTACTACATACAACGCTCGAAAAATGTTACCGTCTTTCGGCAGTCGGTTAAATACGAGTAATAAAAGTGGAAGTATATTATTTTCGCGTTTCGTCTGGTGAGTGAGGTGGCCGGAGCCCAATTTTCAAAAGGTTGTCAACGCATCTGCAACCCTCGGGTGTAACAGACGTCCGTGGGCGGCGGTATTCACTTAACATCAGGCGAACCGTCTGCTGGTTTGGCAACTTTTCACATTAAAAAAAAAACAACTCTCCGATTTTTATTTTCCAATCTCTACTAATAAGAAAATTCAAGATTAACTCTATGTGTCGTGAATGAAACTTTTTGCTATTATACAGAAGGGTTTTAAAAGCTTCTCAAAATAACCAACAAAAAATATAAATATTACAGATATTGAATACATTTCATTGCGATGTATCTTAAATATTTTGCTGATTGATACACTCGATTAACATCTCCGTATGCTATTACAATGAAACAACAAGGAGGAGAAAAATAAACTGGAGCTCGATAGAGAAAATAAACATTTCTTTGAACCTAAATCGTAACAGAAGGGTTTAGATAAACCAACACACAAAAGTATCAAAGATTAGAGCTCGCAGCAACAATCGAAGACACCCCAGCATCTCGTGCAACCCTTCAGCACATAAATCTCAACTCTGCCCACCCCTAATGGCGCGCTTTTTGTTGCGTACCCGTGCCGATACTAGGGCCTTAATCAAACAGGTCTCATGGCAATATCGTCGGGATCCGTTAATTAAGAGTTTAAATAAATCTTCTGATTTACGAGACGGGCTTCAAGGAATAGGTACTGCCCGTACACTTGCGTAACTAAATTTAATCGAAAGTTAATCAACGTTTGCGGCATTCTTCGACGCACCTCTTCACACTTATGGCCGATATAATCTCAATGTTACATTATAATATTGATTGCTATACAATGTCCACTCCGCGAGTGCATTTAAACAGCTGTAATATGCTATAATCTAGTCTATATCTTCACTACATAGTATAAAACATCTTTAAAACTACGCAACGGATCTTGATGAGGTTTATTTTACTAGATAGAGTGATTCATGGGGAAGGGTTATATGTATAATACATTGCACCCGTGCGAAGCCGGGGCGGGTTCTAGTCACATGCAAAATAAACGGGTTTAACAAATCTCACACGCAAAAAAGTGTTTATTAGACCCTACCTAATTGGGATTAGAACAGGAAAAAGTTAAGTCTAAATCTAGTCAGTTTATGATAAAGCCTAAGCATTCTAGAATTAGCTAGCCGTGATAGCTCAGTGTCCAGGCGCTCGCCTTTTAATTCAATATATACTCGAGCAACCTGCGTTCGATCCCCGGTGCCAGCACCAATGAAGTTTTTACTTTTAAGTGCTAACTTATCACGTGCTCCGCGGTGAAGGAAAACATCGTGAAGGAAACCTGCATATTTTCGAAATAATAACAAAAAAAAATATTTCGAAGATATGTGAAGTCCGCCAATCCGCAGTGGGGCCGCGTGGTAGACTATGTCTTGACACCCTCTGTATAGAGGACGCCTTTGCCCAGCAGTGGGACATTTGTCACTCAAGGAGAATTTCCATTCCCTATTTGTCACTCAAGGAGACTGGCATTGGTATGTGTACATCGTACATAACGTCATCTTAGTCGTTTGTAATGTCTAGTGTAAAGAGGATGATAAATATATTAACAAATGTTTTCTGATAATAGTCTATTAATATTGTAAAACTTAAGCAAACATTGAAAGTGTTATAGTATGTAAAAGTAAACTTTGAGTAAAGTTATATACGTCCAATAGTGATAAATGTATGAATAATCGTATAATGGACAAACGTCCAGTCCCGAGTCTCCTAAATTATCAAAAGCCCCTACCCAAAATGCGCGCGGGATTAAAATTCAAGAGACTCATCGTAAAGGGGGGGGGGGGGGGGGGGGGGGGGGGGGGGGTGGGGGTGTGGGGGGGGGGGGGGGGGGGGGACTTGATAAAGTGGCGACTTTTGCAGATTTGCAGGGAGCCGATGGATGCAGGTGGCTCAGGATCATGCTTCGAGGTGAGGTGGCCTATGTTCAGCAGTGGACTCGAATATTTAACGATGGTAGGGCCACGCTACAGTGTTCGCTGTTGCACGAATGGGCAGGTCTGTTCGGATTAGTACCACGACCTCACAGAAGACCGGCGTAAAGTAGAAGTGTTACACTTCTGCGTCTCCTCTGGTGAGTGAGGTAGCCGGGGCGCACATTATTAAGAGGTGGCAACGCACTCGTTTGCCACTTCCATATATACATATATTTCTATATATATACTATATATATTGATGATGATGATTATATGAAATGCACAATTTAGCGGCTTTATTCCTTCATAGCAATCTCTTCCAGTCAACCAATGGCGTAAAGGAAATGTTTACTACGTAGATAAGTTAAATACTATTTAATTATATTTATATAATAAAGAAAGAGTATAATTTTGTGAGCTTTTCCTTATGTGGAGCGTTATCTCTAGAACCATAGCACCTCTTCGATAAATTGAAAAGTACAAAATTCCCAATGGACATAGACGGTACAGCTGTTTGTGTGTACATATAATAAAATTTTCTTTCCAAACGCCCTCAAAGAATAATCCTACAGCAAATGTTATGTAAATGCTAGACAGGTGCATTCTTATCTTTCAAATTTTGATAAAAAGTGAACTATAGACAGATTTCTTATCCGACATGATACTGAAAGTTGACTTCGCACAAGCTGAGGAAACTTGAGGAATTAACTATAATAAATTTATTACACCTGAGCGAATAGTACGTATAAGTCGCTTTCGACTGATACATTGGGCTTTATAGCAGCGGGTCTAAAGTCGTTATGAGTCATCCCTCATTACATGCCATAACCAGAGACGAAGTGTTGGGATCGAATCAATAACCCTTGGCTCAAGAACTCTCACACCACTTAACGAACGGGTCAATAGACACTAAAACTCGTGACCTCTTTGTATCCCAAACTGAAGACAATATCCAAATTGTAACGTGTTGACACATTGAGTTGTAGGTTTCTATGCAAATAAGATATGAATGCTACTAGTAAATAGTGTGATATGAATCTAGTATATATATATATATATTATATATGCTGATCCGGCAAACTTTGTTTTGTGGAATTTCGTAAAATCCGTTCTTAGCCGACCTCTACTCGGCGAAAGGAATATTCCTACCAAACTGGAACCCTCGGGTGTAGCAGATGTCCATGGGCGGCGGTATTCAATTAACATCAGGTGAACCGTCTGCTCATTTGGCAACTTTTCACATAAAAAAAATCTAATAGGTGTATACTTAGAAAGAATAAATAATGTATATACTTATTATAGAAAGAATAAGTATATAAAAAGAATACTAATAGGACATAAGGATGGTCTTTTAAATGTCAAGTTACTGGAATATCGACTGCGATTTATTTTATCCATTAAATCTTAAGATGTGAGCTATTTCCAGCTCAAGAAAGGATTTCATCTGAAAAGACATCTTTAATGATTGTGGACAGAACGTATAATGGTCTATTTTTAAAGTCAATTAAATTCTGATGGCTTAACTAACACTAACTATTGAATTAACAGACTCAGTAGCCTGAAAAAGCGGCGATCAAACAAATAATGGGACAGAATTAACCCAGGGACCTCGCAAACCGATAATGTTGCGTACAATTTGGGAGAGGCTTTCAACGTTGATCTCAACCCGCGCAGTGTGGCAACAGAGTAAGCGCAATTATTAATAGATCTGACCCCTACCAGCGTCGTCAATTAGTAGGAGCCATAAAACGAGACACATTCGAATATCGCGCGTTAATTGCGACACGCTGGAAATTTAGTGCTAGAAAGGGTCCACATAATTACGCCAGGAATTTCGGGTGCGATTAGAAACAATGGGTTTTTGGCGACGAACCCGGTCTATACGCGAGTAACGCTCGTAGTTCAAGCGGAGGACAAAAGTTCCGACTCTTACTGAATTGATACGCGACGGATAATGCAGTCACGCTGTAACAGTGGTGCGGCCGACATTAACAAAACTACTAACAGAATCTTTTCATCTGGAAAAGACAGAATTTAATGAGTTTCGTCAGATATATCTCATTCTATAGATACAAAATGAAAAAAAAAAACATTTTTATGTGTGAAGTGCTTTCACGGTTCGATTTCGGACTTGTTTCTAGTTTGTGAATCCGGAATCTTGCCTGCAACCGAATTTAAAACAAGCGTAAATAAAATAACAAATAACAACACAGCACTATTGACTTTGGTCGAACATGACAAAATATTTGTTCATTCGTTCTCTCTCTATCTCTCTCACTATTAGTAATAAACTATGCAAATATTAATTACAAGAGCAAATTTGGTGATGTTCATTTGATTAGTTACCTACAATGTCCACCATATCTTTAATGCCAGACTTTACCTGTCCAATAATTGAACTCAACAAATTCCGTTAAAACACTAAAAAGATAAAGCAATAGAAATAGACTCGAGCAAGATTTGATACCATTTCAAATTCCAAAGTCACCGAGTCGCGTTCGAAATTCCCGCGGCAAAAACGTATCTCGCCGTAGACGGCGCCCCAGACTTAAACAGAAGGGGTTTGATATTTATCGCCGGGTGTTTATTACTATGAGAATTATACCCCTAATGACTTCCCGAATACCCCCCCGCGACGGCGACAGAAAATCCTATTGGCTATTAACAGTCAAGAAGTGGTAAATTATTGCTCTCGCCGCACAAAGTTCGCTCCCCGCAAACACCTTATGGTAATACGAACGCTCCTCGTCCGTGATAATGTTACGTGCAATGTTTCTGTTTTGTTTATTGCCGGTATTATTGTGTATTAGGACAGGGGGGTTTCGAATTTAAAGTGGCTCTAACGTGGAGCAATCTGGAGTGCTTCGGACGCTGACTTCGGTTTTTGTTCGGTTCGGTTGACTGAGTTTTCGTTCATGCACACTCCGGCTGGTCGATTCAATATTGTCGACGTCTTCACAGGCGGTTCACCCACTCAGCTGGATTTCTGTAACCCAGGAATAATTTTTCTGAATCTGAAAGCGTTTGTTACCATGTAGTGACAAGCCGGCAGCTGGTCGTAAAAGAAATAGCCAAAAGCATTAAAAACCATGCCTAGTATGATAAGGGCAGAGGAGAGTGTTGACAATGGTGTTACATTCATCAGCGCTCCTTAAACCTTTGTTAGAAAGTACTTCCGTACGTATAGAATGATGGTAAAATATGAACCAGTCAGTGAAAAAACCACGGAGCGACCTATAAGTCGTGGTATGGCCACGCAGCTGCTTGGAGTGTTGCACGAATGGGCAGGCTCATCCGGGAAACGAGATTAATATATTGACTGTTGCTACTCAAAACACACTTGAAATGTTATGTACGTCCATAAAAATAAGAATGAATCAAGACATGGAATGTGCACGATATAAATACCAGGAACATGAATTGATTCTACCCATAACTAGACTGCGTAGAATAATTAATTCTTTTTTTTTTTCATGCGAAAAGTTGCCAAACGAAAAGGCGGTTCACCTGATGTTAAGTGAATACCGCCGCCCATGGACATCTTCAACACTCGATGGTTACAGATGCGTTGACAACCTTTTAAAAATTGGGCTCTACTTTAAGGGACAACGTATAAGTTCAAAATATCAATTGCTAAATAAAAAAATTGTGGACGAACGGTTGTGTGTTGAAGGCTATCATAATCTTAGTGATTACTTAAATGATTACACACCCAGGAAATGAATTGATCTCTCTAGGCTCTTTCAAGAGGACTTTAATACACTGTAAGCATTTTTCTTTGTCAAATAATGGTAGGTACGAAAAAAAACCACGCTGAGTTTCTTTTGCTTTCTCAGGCCAGTGGCTTTTCTTTTCCGAACCGGTGGTATTGTCTTAACAGTCAATAAGTGAAATGCTTCCTTAATCAATTAAGTAATTTGAGTTTGAATTCGATACCGCTATCAGAACAAGGGCCTTGAAGAAGAGAATTGTATTTTTAAAATAAATTTTTATTTATCAATTTCGTGCTCACCGCACCTATATAGGATAAATAGACCTCCACCATCTTACAGTCGAAGCATCTGCAACATTGCCAAGGTCAAGTTCTACTTTTTGATCAATTATAACAAGTCAACCACTTTCTCTTTGCCCCCTTACTTAAGTTGCGTATAGTATAATTATATGTAAACGTCTCTAAAAATATGAAAGATGATTACAGACAAAACTTTTTCGCACTAGGAAACTTTCTATCAACAAGGTAGATAAAATAGGTTGAGACTTTCGTCGCAATCAGCCGTTTCGCTTAGTGGTTAAAGCGTCTGGGTGCCCATGCGGAAGATGTTCGTATAATCCTTGCCGCAGCTACGAAAACTTGAACGTCCCGCCGGTGCTCAACCATCCTGTTAGAGCCAAATCCAGCCGCCTCATCCCGACGGCAAGCCGAACAATCGCCACAGTACCACCAGGAATCGATCCCTATCGCGCCCGATCGCGAGCCCTCGGATGGAGACGTAAAATTTTATTATTCCCCGAAAGACCGGCGACGGTGATTTTCGACGTCTCCAGCCTCGAAACCCGTTTGGGTCGATACAAATCGGACGGGAACCTATACGCGCATTCTCGGAAAGCGTCGCGGCCGCGCGGCGAGAATATAAACAGCCATTAATATATGTTGTTATTGCTTTGATAATTGACTCCGATTGCCCACGTGACTTACCGAGGTGCGGTAATGAGATCGGGACCCGAACCCAGCGCCTTTTTTTGGGAACACAGAAATGGACGCCCGTTGATCCGAAGCGATATTTTACCGCCGAATTATCGCCGATTTCACATTGAGGTTTATAGGAAATCGGCTGTCAGCCCGTTCAGTTCAGAAAGCCGGTGCGGTGTGACTTGTTTCAATTACCGCTTTCGATGACCAGGATCAGCTGCGATCGTTGCCGGGATCACGGGTGCTTTTTAATCGATAGTTTATTTTAGTGACTTTTTTTATTACGAACCTTATCTTTTTAAAGGTTTGATCGTAAAGTAACATCCAGGTTATAAATGAAACCTCAAAGGTAGATTAGATAGATATTAACAAAAGTTAGGAAAGGATTCTTCTAATTGGCTTGGATTTTGTTTAATAACATATTTGTGTAATTGATAATTATAATTCTGCACCAACGACGTGTTTTTTTTACGAGAAACCTTCATTTTCCGTATAATTAATTTACAGTGCATAAAACACGTATTTTTTTTGCACTTACCTTAACTTTACTGTTCAGAAGACTTACCTTATCTTTGGAACGTTTTGATACCTGTTTAGAAGATTTTGCAAAGACCAAAAGGTCCTATCATTTAATTTTGCAAAATCTTGCTTTCAATCATTATTTTATATAAAATAATGGTGTTGAAATTTAGATTTAACATTTAAAAGCCATCGATTGCCATGGTGTGGATTCTCTGGTATTTCATGTAGTAAGGAGAAAAATGTGGTTTTTGGGTAAAATCCTTAGCATTAAATGCGTATTGTGTAGCTTCTTCAGTTAAAAGTATAATATTGTGAATTGCTCGTGGGTGCATCTAAACAAATAAACAAATAAAAATTAATCTACTTACCATATAGGCGATCAAGCTCTGCTATTCTTTCTGATCGGGAATGAGTGCGACAATACATACAATTAGTGGCAAAAACAAAACATCAAACGACTGCTTTTCCCAGTTCTGTAGACAAGCACAAACATAAACAAGCTGACGCGACAAGCTGAAGCGAGGACTACATGAAACCATCTTGCGAATTTTTCTCGATCTATCTTGTTTTTAATCATCCCGAGGGTTTCGAAAACCACAGCGTTCATGGTCACGGGACAGACACAATACGTTAAAAAGTTTTATTTAACCAATTATTGTGTGCACCATGATAGCTTAATGTCCACGCGCTCCCTTTCAATTCAATATACTCGAGCAACCTGAGTTCGATCCCCGGTGCCGGCACCAATCAAATAGTTAAATTTAGGTGCTGACTTATCGCGTGCTCAGCGGTGAAGGAAAACATCGTGAGGAATCCTGCATATTTTAGAAATAATAACAAAAAAAATATTTCGAAGATCTGTGAAGTCCGCCAATCCGCAGCGGGGCCGCGTGATGGACTATGCCCTGGTACCCTCTGTATAGAGGAGGCCCAGCAGTGGGACATGTATAGGCTGTTACTTTACTTTGTTTACGTTATTATTCTAGATATGTGCAATCCGCCGGTCCTATATAGGCCCTACAAGATCCTTTACCTAACAGCAGGACATATAGGCTATTACATTACGTACGTGTGGTATTTGTGTAGGTTCACACATAATATATAAAAAAAATCATTACATTAAGACTTATATTTATATCAATGGTAGATCCATTCTGCTTTATAGCAACCAGGCGATGAGCACTTTGAGAAAAATCGCCCGACCTACGTCATCAGCCGTTTGTTTTCCGCACTTCCGCGAACCGAATGAGGCGCAGCGCGACTTGTCGATATACGCAACAAAGATGGCGGCGATAAAGCTGTCGCGGATTCGAGCGGCGGTCGAAATGTCGCCAGCTGTTAGCAACCCGTCCAACACTAATCGCCGCGCTATTCGTATTACATAAAAGTCCTGTATCACAAAAATAATGTCCACTTCTCGGAACGGCGCGATGCGATGAGTAAGCCTGGTACAGTCGCGCGCAGAAATTGTTTCGCGAAATTTATTTTTAATTAATTAATTTTTTTTTTTCAATTTTATAATACAATTTTTTTAATATTTCAGCGATCCCTTTTAAGATCACTGGAACTGGACTCCATGGTTCATATATACAAAGATAAGGTGAAGTGGCGTTCCTTGGTAGTGGGTGGTGATGATCACAATACAATAGCTACTTTAAACTGAATCTACAAACTTTAACCGTGTAAATAAATTGGCAGAAAATTAATAACCTCAACAGGGATTCGAACGGATACACATTTTAAGATGAGATCTTAAGTGCAGAGACTAGCATAAAAACATAAAATTAGTTATAAATCTACAGTTTTAATATAACAGTCATATTAATGAACGTTGGATGGCAACAGGTGCACTGCCCCTTATGTTTTGGGTTCTAGTTCTAATTTCAAATGATAGTCGGATTAACCAGTTATAGTTAAACTTCGTGAGTCCATGCATGTACCACTAACTTCAAGGAAAAGTCAGGAACTGACAGTGGATCTTCTAATAAATGTATTATCATCACATCAGCCTCTTAGAGTCCACTGCCGAATATAGACCTCCCCCCATAGACTACAACAAAACACGGCCTTGAGCCACATGCATCTATCGACTTCCCGCACACTTGCACAGGTCGTCACTCCATCTAGTGTGAGGTCAATACCAATAACAAATATATACTATGTAAATAATTTCTTTCTACGGAATTGTCAAACACATATTTTATCGCAGTTTTGTTTGCTCTCACTATCATCATAAGAAGATGATTTAATACGTTTTATCGTCCAATTTAAGACTAGCCCTTTCGCGCGCGCCTGTACTCGCTACATCGACACGTTCGCGAGAACGGACACTTTCGAGATGCCGAAACTAGATAGCGTTACCACGTAAGGCGTAAAATATACGCCGCTTATTGCTTTTACGAGGGCCCACTGTAGAATTGTACAAGCCACTGGCTTACGGGATAGCCTTCGTATTGCGCTCTATTGGTCGCCGCGAGCGATTATTCGCACATAAGTACACGACGAAGGAGTTGGATGGGACTACGATGGTTGAGTATTATTAAGAGCAACAAGTTTCGAGAATTTTCTGAGGGTAATGGTACGTAATGCGGTTACCGCCGCCTTTGGCAACATGCACGCCGCGTCCATCGCACAAAATCGGAAAACTTTAAAGTTATCTTAGGTAAATAAGCTTTTCAGAGGTGACTCCGTGGCGCAGTTTTAAAAGGTATTGGCTTCGGTGTCGGGGGTCGTGGGTTGGATTCCCACACGGGACAACTATTTGTGTGACCCACAGATAGTTGTTTCGCATCTGGGTGTTTGTCCGCGTGCAATTTATGTTTGTAAAACGTCTTTACAACACAGGAAAATATTATACTATGTAAGGAAAATGTTTGAAATATATATGTATATATATACATATATACCTCCAAATTGTTATAACCAACGTGGTGACGCGGTGGCGCAGCAGATAAGGAACATATATTTGTGTGACTAAGACTATGTTGTACTCAACTTTTCGATGTTAGTTTTACAACTTTTGCATCTTCAAATAGTTATCCTATGAGCAGTTATCAATACGATGCATTATCTTCATTAACTAACTTCTTAGCAGCATTTTCTGCCTCTCTTCGACTTTTCGAATAGCATTAACATGTCCCTACCCCAAAAAATATGCCATTGTCTTCGCATTTAGTGCATGTTAATGAGGGATAACAACTTTTGCTAATAGAAGCTTAGTACGGCTAATTACCAAGAAAACTATAGACCACAGTACATACAATTGAACCTTATCTTTTTTTATAATAATCACAAGAGCAATTATTACGCTATTGCCTTGCGTGTGCATTGCTGACAATCGTGTACATCCAATCGGGAACTTGCTACGCCAATATCCACTTTATCCCGTAACAATAAACACGTGTTTGGAAGAGCAGCCAATGACAATAGACCGGCTCTCGGTTGAGACGACATCGGACGCACTATTTAATATAATTTTATTAAAGAATGTGCTCAGAGGAGCGAAGCTATCTTGGTAATAATCGTCACCAGTAATGGCAGAAGCCTTCCGTAATTATTCCGAGTGACTGTCTTTACTTAGATGTGATGGCGACTGGAAATGGTAAATTCATTACAGTTGAATACAATAAACAATCAAACAAGAGAATACGTCAGAAGTAACGCACCAAAATATCTTTTAATGAGGTATTTAGAACTAAGACAAGTCAATAAATGAAACAGATAATAGAACAGTCTTTGATTAATAGCTACAATTTATGTTACCAAAATATTTTATATTTCTAGAAGTCTCAATATTGATAGATTAAGGAGTTAAAAATTGACGAAAACGAAGCTCGTCGCTTACGCAGAGACGTTAAACATAAATATAAAGCAAAATATTATAAATGTTACTAAAGCAACATGCGTATTATAATATTAAATGTTTACATCAGTAAGTTGTATTACATTTAGCCGTTCTAACTGTTTATTTGAAAGGGAACGGCAGCTGACCAGCCAAATTGCCTGATAGAAAGTTTAGAAATGGCTAAGACATATTGATGTTGCAGCCAACCACTGAGAATATGGGTCTCGAATTACCTTAGTCATCGAACGGAACCGAAAAGTACAAATACTTTATATGGCCCCAGTATGGTCCATGACTCGTGCACCAAGATTTTGTGAAATACACTATCACAGTTGGCGATAAGTTGGTCAGCTCTAAATCTAGAACAGGCTAGTTTCACATAACCCCTAAGAACCCGATGATAAAAACCAGCTCCAAAAACTAACAAGTGCCACTTCCAGTCGCCAGTGCGATTGCAACGTCACTATTGTATTACGGTAATCGTAATTTTTACGTAATGACAGTCACCACATGGCTGAACGTGATAGTATCGCATAGATTGCAACCCGCGGTGGCTGATTGCTAAATCCGACGAGTAGCTTCCACATCCCTCGCCATCGGAGCCGAGTGATATCAAGAAACTGCTCCTATACAAGTCTACAATAAACAGTACAAGTACTTATGCAATTGTTTTCTGTAAAATTTGTAGAGTTGCCTCTGTAGACATGTTCCTGACTCCTGCAGTACTTGATGTATATATTAACGACATTCCTATTTATTCTATAAACCTCACTTTTACAAAAATTTTTAACGCGATTGACATTTGAACCTTCGGTTGTTGATTTAGATGCACAGTAATATCATCATTATGTAGGTGTTTTCCTGTAAAAAAAAGGATAAACTACAGACCAACTCTTCAGCAGCAAAATCCACTGGTCACATTATGAAACGTAACATCAAAAGTTAAAGAAGCTTAAACGTCTATTTATGGACTATGTGGTATATAATTTTCGTAAGATACTATAGTACGGAACACTGTTCAATTATACCATTAAATAGAGAACTAATTCAAGCACTACAAATTTAAGAAAGTCAAAGTTGTGTCGGTGCAACCCAAAAAAAACTGGCAAGAAGCTGTATAATAAACCAAAGTATCCTTATAAAAAAAAAAAACAAATATACAACAACAAAATCTCAATAAATTACTTCGCAGTCAGTTCGCATTTGTGCTTCGTACGCTTAATAAGTTAGGTTAGTACAAAAATCAGTAAAATATGAAGTTGTCCACCGCCAATAATAGATGGCGCCGCAAGTATGCTACCAAATAGTGCGCCAGGAAGCGGTCGATTGCTGCGCGCACGCATCGCTGATGTCGCCCCCAGTGAAACCCACACCCCGAGGGTAGATTGGGATCTTAACTGCCGCGTGTATCGATAGACCGATATCTCCTAAGTAACTTCGGTCCCAAGCGGGGCCATTTTAAATTCGAACACCGCTACCGTCTTAATTAACGGTCGAAGTTTTATTTCTGATTTCGACTGCGCACGGTTGGCTGATTGCCGTAGATCGAGGTAGGGAATAGTGATGCCAATTAGTCTATCGATGTTCTATTCCAGATAAGTACTTTTTTGAATTGTACTTGAGAACTCATGAATATTTTTTTTTTTTCGATTTTATTTTGGCGATAAATAAAAAAAAAAATGTTTGCACGTTTGTCCTCTATTATGTTTAGTGTATCTTGATAATATATCCGAATGTGATAAAGACAAAGGAATATTTTTTGTACTTTTCTCATCTGTGTACAAAAGTAAAAAAAATATTCTAAAGGCTTACAACGCATGCTGGGTAAGGCTGGTAATGTTAATGTAACATATTTATTCGGACAACACCAAAATTGAGCCCAATCGATGATCATCGAATAAATAAATAAATAATTATTACAAAACTTTTAGTCGTGTAAGTCGAATAGAGCATCACAAATTTCGAAAATATACAAGAACATCACCAAAGTGCTAAAATTTGATCGACATATCGACTTATCAAATATAAACCTGGATCTTTTCGGGATCGCGTCGTGTGCGAATTACGTAACGTGAGTAGAAAGTCACCATAAGGTAAATTGCATCGGGCCGATTGCGCAGGCGACTTTAATAATCCGTCAAGGCGTGACGCAATGATGACGGAAAGATTTTAAATAGACAACGGGCATTGTCAAAGCACAATTGCGTTGCGAAATATCGGGCGCGCATCGAGGCGGCCATTGTTTGAGTCTGAACGGTGCACGTTGGCTGTTGGCTTACAATCGCTCGATGCTGGCTTCGCTAGGTGACAAGGATCGCTAGACCTGCCCCCGTCGCTAGAATGTTGGTTAGCAAAGTTTTTTTTTAATTTATTTATTGTAAGTATTTTACCTACCTTTAAGTTTCGTCTGGATAGCGGTAATTGCCTGGTAAATAGGGCGCATTTTTTAAATGATAACCAACGCATCTACAACCCACAGTTTCAACAATAGACTAGGCGGAAACAAAATCTCCAATCCTCAAGACGGAAACGAATCAG